GGAGATTCCTTAAAATATTTCCTGGATAATATTTCCAGAATTGGACAGAGAGTGAGTATAACATTTCATTTTAATTTTCATTTAATTTCCTTACTAACATTTATAAATATTCCTTCAGAATTTTCTAAGAAAAGAAAAAAAAAAAAAACTTTTTATTCATTCATATATTATCAAACATTATTTTGGTGCTTGGAATTTAATTTCACCTTTTACTAAAGAGTCACAGTTTTGTCTTTATTATTTCTTCTGTGTGTCATGTCCCTACAGGATATAGACGATCATGGCTCTCCACAACTTCCTATTCTTTGTATGTCTTTTCCCCATTCCTCCCAGGCCCTGTTCTGCCATTTAATTACAAGAGCATGTCAGGTATCATCTTTCCCATTTGCCTTTAATCTGTGAGTGTCAAATTCTCCAAGCCCACTTTCCTTGTGTGTCCCAGACTCTTTCTGATACGGGTTAAATAGTAGAACTTGTATCTGTATAAAAATCATTATCTCTCAAAAACTGTGAATGCAATATTCACTTGCAAAAAAAAAGAGTATTTTCACAATCCAAAATATGTTGACTTTGGTTGATAAGCTGTAAAAAAAAAAAAAAGTTCTATCTTGAAAAATATGTATGTATGTATGTGTGTGTGTGTGTGTGTGTGTGTATATATATATATATATATATATATATATATATATATATATATATGTGCGTGTGTGTGTATGTATATATATATGTGTGTGTGTGTCAACAGCAGACAATGTCTATTCCTAAAGACATCTAAGTAAATCAACAGCAATGAAAATTCTTAATTTAAACTTTATCTTCCCTTCTTTCTTTGTTTATCTTGCTGAAAGGAGACAGCATCTTATGCCTTATATGACTTTCCTCTTGATCAAAAGCAGAATAGTCTATTATTTATGAGGTATTGGAAAGGGGGGGTAACGTATGTGCTAACTAAGGAAGGGAAGGGACATGCAAAATTAACAGATATTATTAAATGCTGGAAAATAATTTTTAAAAAATTAGAACAAGCATTTTTTTTAATTTTTTTTTTTTTTTGCTTCAACTGCAAAATTTTTACAAGTGTTCCTCTCTACATTAGTATTTCCTTTTTATTCCTAGTTGCATTCTTCATTCCGATTCTCTTATCGATAAGCAACACTGCCAAGATAAACATGCACTGTAAATGAAGCAAATATAATTCACTCAATCAATTGACAAGAACTGTTTTAGAAAAAAAACAAAGATAAAGAAATGAAAGCTTTATGAATTAGAGTAAAAAAATAAAAAGAAAGATGAATAAAAGACCACAAAAATATCACAAATGTGGCTGAGTTTGAGAGATGTTAGAGGCAAGTAAGCTTTATCAGCCAATTCCCTACTTACCAGTACTTGACACACTAAAATTCCAACATCTATTCTTTCACTGGCTGACTGTTGAGAAGTTTCAGCAAATTAAATCCTTTATAAGAAAAAATTTGAAGACTTGAACTTTTCCTTTCAGCCATTTTGTCCAAGTAATATTTGAAATTTCTTTGTTTTTTGGTGGGTATTTTTTAAAATTCTCTTTCTTTTCATTATGCAAAAATATATCAAAATAGTTTCTTCATTTGACTAGGATTTATTCCCCACCTTGTTTTTTTTGTTTTTTTTTAATTAAGTTGCATTCTATTGAAATTTTGTTCAGGTCACCAATTTCTAACAATTAGTAGAGAACACAAATTGGAAATACACAAGCTCAGCTGCTGACAAAACTAAATACTTGTTCACAAACTGATTAAAGTTATGAGATATATTTAACCCCATAAATTAAAAAAAAAAATAAGCAAATATTAATTCTATCCCATAATTACATGTCACAAACATTTAAATGTTTTATTTATCTTTAAGAAAAAATGTCTTTGCTAACACTTGTTTTTAAGCATTTTATTCAAATAGATATATTTAGATTTATGAATCTATCTGTGTGTAAGTTTTTGTTTTAAGTTTTCCATGTCGACAAATATAAAATATTTGTCGACCTGGAAAACAAAAACTTACACACGGATAGATTCATAAATATTGTCTTCTCTACTGGTTAAATCGGAGAAATTTCCATATATTTAGATATTATTTTTTTAAATGCTATATCCCTTCTAGATTTAAGCAATTATAGCTCCCCACAACTTCCATTTGTTTATCTGTAAGTTGCCAAGACTTCTTAGGGAAAGAAAGTAGAGTGTTTTCTTGTTGCCTTCTCCATAATGTTACATTATTTTCCTTCTTCTAGACGGGTTGCCACTCAAGATGGTAGAACCCTGTCTACCCTGCCATTTAACTCCATAGCTAGAGAAGGAGTAATTGATTTATGCATTTCTTATTAGTGCAAACTGAGCCCTACAGATTTTTTAAAAAATTATTGCTCACCAATACAAGGCTTAAGAGCCACTCAAGATAGAGGGTTATTGAATGGTGATTTTGTAAGGATACGTAGGATAGATAACAGTCGACATTTAAGAGGTTAAGATAGTAGTAATCAGGGAAGCATCCTTGTGGCAATTTGTTCCACATTGCAACAGTTCTAAGGTAGAAGCTGGGTGGAACTTCCTCCTCACTAATGGAATACGAGGAGTTGACTCTGTGTACGTGGCCTGACAGGTCTTATCTGTGAAGGTCTGGATATTGTTTGTGCAAACATCTGCCATAAAAATAATGGCAAATATTTGAACACAGATTTTTTTTGTTACCAAATGTTTCATTTTGAGAGTTAGGTGATGCTCCTGCTACATATATATATATATATATATATATATATATATACCTTAAAATAAAATATTTTTGTGTGTTTTTATATATATATATATATATATATATATTTTTTTCTTTCATTTTTTTTTTCTTAAGCATATCACACCATACAAGGCAGTAAAGCCACTAAGACACAAGGGGTTACTGAGTGTGGAAGAATTAGAAAAAAGAGAAACATTACGGAGCGAGAACAATAGAAGAGTAATCAAGAAGACAGTAGATAACAATTGATATTGCATTTTAATTTGTTTTCTAATCATTTCAGACCATGAAAAGCAGTAAAGCCACTAAGACAAAAGAGGTTACTGAGTGTGAAAGAATTAAAAACAGAAACATTATTAATGAACGAGAAGAGGGAAGAGTAATCAGGAGGACATTTCATTTAAATTTAAACTTAGGGCTATGTCTAGCTAGCTAGCTCATCTCTCAATGCCAATCTAGTACTATGCTTAAATTCAAAAAGTCTACATACCATAGCAAAAGAGCTCATCCAAACAATTACCATGAAAGTATTTATAGAAAAGACACTGGGAGGCAACCTTATGGCAGTGGGAAAATAACTTATGCCAGATCAGGATCGATAATATTGCTGATTCTTCTTTGGATTTTATCAAGGAGCTCAAGGTAAATAGCAGGGGAACCAGACCATATGTGGCAGCAATATTCTAAGCATGGACGAATAGTAGATGCATAGATATGTAAGATAGATTCTAGAGAGAAAAATTGCCTTGCACAACACAGTGAACCAACTTTCTTAGCAGCTGATCTAGTAATGGATTCCACTTTCCTAGAGGTTAGCATCAGCCATGCTGATGGAAGGAAGAGAGAGCTCTCTCAGATGTTTAATTGAGAGAAGTTTAGTTTTGGAGGCATTAAAATTAACAAGCCATATTTTGCCCCAGTTAATGATGGACTTGAGATTTTTTTGGACATTGGTGGCCATTTTGACCTTTGGACTGGTTGTGTTGTCAGCATAGATATCAAGTTGAGAGCTGATGTCATTGGAAAGGTCATTAATGAAAATTAAAAACATTGTAGTATCAAGGATGGAGCCCTAAAGGACGCCAACATTAGTATGAAAGGCTCTAGACGAGTAGTCATTCAGGATAATTTTCATTTCATGATTGGAAAGGAAAGACTGTGTCTGGAAATACTAAATTTTCGGCTTGTCGAGAAGACCTGTATGCAAGACCCTGTCAAAGGCTTTCGAGATGTCTAATGATACAACCTGGGCTTCACCGTTTTTATCTAGAGCATGATAGATTTTTTCCACAATTATCGTCACTACATCTGCAGTTGACATGGAGAAACAAAAGACAGACACACACACACACACACACAAAGTTCAATTGAATTATCTTAATTGACTGACTCCAGAGTTTCACGTCAAAACACTTATCAGGGTCAGATGTTCAATAAATCTATTGAAATTATAATCAGATCTCATATTTATGGCCCTTGAACCATATGCAAATCATAAATTTCAATTTTGAAATTCTTACAAGATTATATTATCAGCTAAGATATAACATATAAATTCAGATCCAGTTGAAATGAGTTTTATTTCAATTTTTTTTAAACACTACTTAATATCACACATGCACACAAAAATATATATATATATATAGGGAGGAGGTTATAGTTGTTCCGAGGAGAGAAACTTTCTCACTGCCAGTTCAAGGAAAACATTTGTGTCTCTAACACACAAAAAAGAGAATGTTTAACTTTGAAAAGCGTAAAAAAAAATAAATTCCTTTTAATATGTGGAAATATCCACTCTTTGCCTGATGAAGGTCATGAGACTGGAAACGCATGTAGCAAAATTATGGAAAATAAAACATATATTTTTTAAAAAATCCGCATTACAACCAAAAACGTTTGCAGTTTCGTTTTTTTTTTTTAATGTACATACATTATATATATATATATATATATATATATATATATGTATGTATGTATATATAGAGAGAGAGGTTATAGTAGTTCCAACGAGAGAAAAGTGTGTATAATAAAAAGAGAAACCGCAAACATTTTTGGTTGTAATGTGGATTTTTTCAAAAATATATTATGCCTTAATTCCATAATTTTGCCACATGGGTTTCCGGTTTCACAACCTTCATCAGGCAAAGAATAGATATTTCCACATATTATTAAAAGGAATTCATTTTTCTTACGTTTTTCGATGTTAAATATTCTCGATATTAGACATTGTCTTTTTTTGTGTGTTAGTGACCCAAATGTCTTTCTTGAACTGGCAGTGAAAGAATTCT